TAACCATTTAGCTTTTTTATAAGTTTTTAAACTGTAAAACTATTGATAATATTTAAAAACTAATTAATTGTGCTTTTTTTGTTTGTGAGATTCGGAATTTTTACCCATTATTTTGCCGATTAATTGTCCCGNTTAAGCTAACTAAGCTTGAACCAGATATAAAATCGCTGTGTAAAAAGCATCAAGTCCACAAATCACATTAAAGTAAATTTTTAAAATCTATTATTTTTTTATTTATTAAAAGTTCGTTTCTTTGTTTTGACAACAGTTGTAAGAAATCGCTTTAAAATTATCATTCATATTACTAAAAAGAACAAAAATAAATTTTATAACTAAAATTATGTATGGGGGGACATGATGATTTTAGAAATGTTAAAGTGGGGCATGGCCTAAAAAAGTTTGGGAAACACTGGTCTGGATATAACACAACGTGGAGATTTGAGATTTAAGCTAACTAAGCTTGAACCAGATATAAAATCGCTGTGTAAAAAGCATCAAGTCCACAAATCACATTAAAGTAAATTTTTAAAATCTATTATTTTTTTATTTATTAAAAGTTCGTTTCTTTGTTTTGATAACAGTTGTAAGAAATCGCTTTAAAATTATCATTCATATTACTAAAAAGAACAAAAATAAATTTTATAACTAAAATTATGTATGGGGGGGACATGATGATTTTAGAAATGTTAAAGTGGGGCATGGCCTAAAAAGTTTGGGAAACACTGCTCTAGAAGGACAGTGATTCAGGATAAAATTTGCAGTGTGGATGGCTTTGGCCTAAAAGGAGGCCTTGAGTCGTCCTGACTGAATTAACATGCATCATGCCATCTCAATTAATGTTCGATTCTTTCTTTCAGCCACTCCATTTTGTTGTGGAGTATGGGGGATGGTTAAATGTTGCTTTCAAATATTTGTCAAATTCTTTGTTGCAATATTTGGTTCCATTGTTGGATTGAAGACATTTGATTTTCATGCTAAACTGTATCTCTAGAAGGTTCTTTACTTGTTTAAAGACATTCAGTATATCGCTTTTGTTGCGGAGAAAACATACTTCACACCATCAAGATTGGTCATCTATGAAGACAGCAAAATATCTAGTGCCCGACATAGATTGAATTCCAGTTGGACCGCAGATATAATTGTGTATGATTTCAAGTATTTTGGAAGTTTGCTGGTTGTCTGCTGAGGGAAATGGATTTTGCACCATTTTTGCTCTGAGGCATGTTTCACATGGGGATAAACGATCACCAGATGGGATTTGAATCCCAAGGCGTAACAATATTATCCTTAGGCTCTTTTGATTAAGATGACCTAGGCGTTCATGCCAATCCATTAGGATGGACTTAGATTGAACGATAGCAGCAACTGGATTCCATTTACGAATATGGTAGAGTTTGTTCACTCGATCAGCTGTAGCAACAACATTGTTGTTTTTGTCCATGATAAATGCAACCTGTTTGTGGAATGAAACTTCATAGCCTATATCACAAATCTTACTTACAGACATGAAATTTATTCGAAGGTCAGGAACCAGGAGAGTATCAGATAAGTTAAGTAATCGTCCTGCTGATTCATTGTTAAGTGCTAGTTGACTAAGTCAATTCCTTCGATCGTTGCAGTGTTTTCTTTGCTGGCTAGGTTCAAGGTTCATCCGTCACGCTTGATTTCTGTGAAATCATCCTTATTAGCACACATTTGGGAAGATGCAACACTATTGAGACACGATTTACCCCTTTTGGTTGATCCTGATTGATTTTGTAAGTAAACTTTCATATTTTTTGCTTGATGAGTAAATTTGTTTGTGTTTTCAACTTGAAAGCTTGAATCAATTCTCACGCCATGGAAGCATTCTTCAACAGCTTTACTGGCACACTCAATACGCTTGGGTTTGTAGCGGCAGTTAGAAGACTTGTGATTTCGACAACTGCAGTATTTGCATTTTGATTCACTTGGATTCGTTTTCTCGAATTTGAATAGAGTTTTGCCTTTTGGATTCCTACAACCATCTTTGTTTTTGAAGTATTTCTTCTTTTTGGCATACATGGCATTGGGTACTGCATTTGTCTTTTTGCCTTTTCAAGATTCGTGTTTTTCGAGGATTTTCTCTTTAAGGGCATCTGGATTTGCCAGATTGTCGCATGATTCAATTGCACAATGAAAGTTTTCATAGGATGGCGAAACGCTATATAATAACATTATAGAGAGAAGATCGTCGTTGATGTTAACATTTAAATCTTGAAGCTTATCGACAGCATCAAAGAATCTGTTGAGATGGTCTCTGGCATCATCAGGCTCATTCATCTTATGTAGTATGAGCTGTTTGAGGAGTGTGGCCTTGCATGCAGGACCTTTAGATTGGTAAATGGATTCCAATTTGTTCCAAATTTCAAAAGCAGTCTTGCATCCCTTGACTTGTTTTAGTTCGTTGGAACTGATTGTAAGAATTAAGTCAGCCTGGGCCTTTGAATCATCTTCGTCCCATGTGGCTGCTTTTTCCTCATCATCAGTGGGTTGTCGGTAGACCCCATTTGCTATTTCCATGTTCCATTTTTAACTAAAATAGCTTTTGTTTGGATTTTTCACGTATCATAGTTATCCTTCTTTAGAGGTTCAATTTTGATTGTAGTCGTCATTATTAAATACAGTAATACCCCGAACTTACGCGATAGGTGGGACCGAGCGATAACCGCGTAAGACGGGGTATAATTTCCCATATAAATACATACAAATAATTTTTAATTGGGGTCGGAGACTAAAGAAAACCTATAATTTAGAAAAAAATGTTTAATAAAATCTTAGATGATACATATGTATAACAAATTATATTTTCACATTAACTTGATTATCACACCATAATTTTAACATTGTTTCCATCTCATGGTAATACCGTGACGTTTGCGAATGACGCTTGAATTTAAAGATTGAGCATTTTTCACAACTTTGAGAATTTTTTTCTTTACCTTTTATAATTATTCTGACCGTCGATTCCGGTAGATCAAACTTCTTTACCAATTCACAAATATTCATTTTTGTATTGCAGTCTTTAATAATGTTAACTTTACATTCTAAAGATAAAGATTTTCTTTTCTTGTTTGATGCAGAAGAATCAGTTCTACTTCGTTTGGATGACATAGTAGAGTCTCTTGAGTCTCTGTAGATATAACAAACACAGAAATAAATAACATAAAATAAATTGTAGCTATACGTCCGAACATGTAAGCTGAACAATAGTGTTTGGGGAGTGAGTAAGCAAGAGTTGCGTGGCGCCCAAACAAAAGACGAATCGACGAGATTTGAAAATCGCATAACTCTGGGTTTGCGTAAGTTGGGGTATTACTGTATTATTGTTAGTGACTGGAAAATTGTTGTATCGTTTTAAATTCAGTGGGTACAGTATCTGTGTACTAGTAATTTCTCACAAAAATGAGTTCCTTTTAAATCCATTGCCATGTTTTTGTTCGTTAGCTGGAAGTTGACTTCTCGATACTTGGTTGTAACTATCGGCATGGAATTTTATAAGAAAGGATTCATACCTTTGCTCTCTGTTGGTTCTTTGAGTTTCATAGCAATCAGATTTGTGGACCGTGAAAAATAGTCCAAAAAAATCACTACATGCTGCAGTTTTGTTAATTACACTTCTTCCTTGGAAATTTTATTTTATTTCTCTTCAGAAGGCTCCTCCTGGGCCCGTAACCTGTTGTAATAAATGCAGGGTGTCACAGTGGAGTAAAGTAAAAAGCAAATTGCTTGGTTTCAACACAGAGTTTAATCTAAGCTGTATATACTACACATACCAAAAGCGAAGGGAGACAAGGCAGAAGGTACAAGAATCTAGTTACATAAACAAAAGTTTAGACGTCATCTGGAATATCCCTAGGAGAGTGTCATGATACTCTCACCAACAACCTGTCCTTGCTTACTAGAAGAGAATTATTCTATTCAAAGTGGAACATTTATTACAGTATTTTTATTGTACACTTTTTATTGTTCATGTCAAAGTGTAAAAAACATCCATTATTGAAAATAGGATTATTTCTTGAGGGTTGTGAGGGTAATTATCAGTTCAGCTCAACAAATTCTGGTAAAAATTTTTGTTTGCTTTATCATGTGAAAATTAACATTTTGACAATGGCATTTTGTCAAGGCAACATCAAAATTTGCTTTATTGGTGTTCATTTTAAGTCATGTCAACTATATAATCATTATTATATGTAATATTTATTACTCTGATTCCTTAACTATTAATTATTAACTCCTCCTTCCTCCTCCTCAAAAAAACTTATATTTACATATTTTTATTTACTTGTATTAATATACTTATGGGGGGCCAGTTTAGTTCAGTTTGCCAAGGCTGGTAAAATTTTCCAGTCTACCACTTACATCCAGTGATTTTAGTGTTATACTATTCTTCTTATTTTAAATATGTACTTCTTAAGAAAAAATGTTTTAATGCTGAAATTGTCAGTTATAATACTGAGATTGTACCTGAGAAACAATATGCCATACACATTTGAAGTCTGATTACATTATTCTTATTGCACTATTTATAATTTTCTTAAAATAATAATTTCTATAACTTAAAATTTTACCTGTCCCTTCAACTTTGAGTTATTCAGAGTTAACAACAATAAGTGAATTTTAGTATACAATAAAACCTTTGCAAACTGGAGTTGCACAGTACTGAATATTTTTTTCCAGTTTGACATGTTTGTTTTGAACATATTTTTTAACATATGAAATCTCTCCATTCAAAAGAACTTTTTACATTTAGATTTCCATTTTATTTAGGTTCAGTTTTGTACAAGTTTTACTGTATGTATGTAAACAGATTTCTGAATTTATGAAAAAACTATAATTATCAGTTCAAATGCATTTCTGATTTTGAGTCATTTTCTACATTTCTATGTATTGTAATTACTTTTTATTTATTTTTTAATTTATAAAATTATTTTTTTGAAATTTATATGATTTATGACTAAATTTAGATTAATTTTTTATAGGCGACAATAGGAATAGATTTTTTATCCAAGACGATGTATCTGGAAGACCGTACTGTAAGTTTTATTAAATATTTTAAGTTTTAATTATATTGCAGTGTAAATTTTCATAGAATTCTTATTTTGTATGTATGTATGTATACAATAATTGTAAACATTAAGTAATAATTATAAACAAAAATTGTGTTCGTAACTTAGCACTTAATAATATGCATTTATAAAATTATTAAATTAGTAATTAATATATACTTTTAAATAAATATATATATATATAAGAGCGAATCTTTAGTATAACAAATAGTTATTATTAGAATAATTTTTTATCAAGCTTTCAATCAGTGAAAGTTTGCAAAATTTTTTTATAAATTTCTGTAATTTCAGGCAGATAATCCAAGGGTTATTTGTGTTTGAAAGATAATTTAAAGGGGGTTGCAGAGTATGCAAAGGGATGGGTTAAATGCTAATTCTAAATTTCGATTAGAAGTTAAAGTTGATTCAAACTATACAACTGGCTAGTGGCAGGCAACTAATTCATCAGACTGACAATTCCTGTTTGCATGAAATGACACCAATTGTTTAACTATACTCTCCACTGTTTTTACAACCCTGACCAATTTTGATGGCTTTAAGATTTAAATTTTTAATAAATGCGTCCAAATGAAAATAAATAAATAAAAAATAAGAAAATACTTGATTTATGTTACAGGTTAATCTTCAGTCTAATACAGAATACAAGAAGTTTATTTTATTATAATTATTGGACAAATGAAGTTAGTCATAAAAATAAAAATAAATTGTATTTATTTGTTTTTACACTTTTGTATTTACATAATTGGGACAGTTCATAAACATTTTCAATCAAATTACAGGAGTGGCCAATGAATATAGGGATAAATTTAATATTTTAGAGGAATTTCTCAATAGCCATTTCCTGTTAAAGTTAAGTACCATTCCCCATACACACAAGGCATCTTCAAATGCATATTATTGAAGACAATACACAAGCCTGCACTTGTGTGTATATGCCATTGTACTAAGCTATTGTGTTTGCTATTGCATTCTCATATTGAAAGTTATTTAATTTTTAAATTTTATTCAAATGTTAGTTTAACCTTTATTTAGTCAGAGATCGGTCTTTCTGGCAGAAGAAGCAGAAAGGGGAAATTTAAAAGACTAGTTTGAACCACCAGTAGGATCCTCAGATCAGAAACAGTGACATGGAAAAAAATAGAAATCACATTTTATTATTAGCAGCAGCAAACAGTTTTATATACTTCTGTGTAACTTGTACAACATAACAGATATGGCACACTTAATAAAGGCACATTTTTAGAGAGTCTTTATTGACAAGTGAACTTTATACTGTTTAGCTATGTTATGGAACATTGATCTGATCAAAAGAAAATAAGTTACTTGAGGAGTCAACATATATTAAAAACAGTAAAGATGTTTGTGACCAGATAGTATATTTTGGGGCAGCTTGTTGGCTAGTAGGGAAAGCCATGCTTCAGATGGTACTGACTGCAGTCTCTGTCAGTTGAAGGCCCACACAGAACTACAGTAGGTCCACAAGATGAACAGTACCATCTAGCTTTTTGTTGTTTCTTCCTGATATGGCAACAAATGATGCATTTCTTTTGTACATGCTGATGTGTGTTATCAGATGATACTGCTTTGAATACTTGGCTTACAGGTTGTTGTATAGGTTCCTCCAGAATGAATACTGGAATGTCTACACCTTATCAGTCAAGCATTCTTCACCAAAAGCACAGTAAAACCCTTTTATACAATCATTGCTAATTTAGACCTACTGTGATGTGTCAGCTGCTGTGATTTGTCTGTGTGACTGTTTTTGTTTCATTATTAAATTTCCATTATTTAATTAATATTTGTGGCATAGAAAGAGTGTAATTACAGTAAAGAAATGCCAACCAACATTATTTCTTGCACTTTCTATATGCACATGGACAAGTTTTATTGCACACACATTCACATGTGTGGTTTTATCATCTACATATCAATATACAAAGCACCTGTACTGTTCTGTACAGAAATGACTGTTCCCAAGCATCTAGTGGTGTTACAGTTCAAAGTTGTCTTTTGACCAAAAATTATCATTGTTCCAGTCAAAATAGGTAGCTGAATACTTATATGTGTGCTGGAATAATTGTTGGCTACTGCCATCTTTGTTTGTGTTGGGCCTGCCAAATAATGAATTTCATTGCTTCACTATGATTGCATGTTACAGGAGCCTAAAGTTAGGGCCTATTCATAGGACCACTGATCTTTCAGGTATGCCACTGACAAAATAATCATTAATTAATGTAAAATGGGATTTCATACACAAGAAACTTTTTCTTTCCAGAAAACATATAAATAGAAAAACAAACATTTTTGGTCTGATTTATAGGCCTGTGTGAGATCCAGGTCTGTAAGACTTTGCCCACTGTCTCTGATGGCTATATTTGTACTATTAAAGGGGAGACTAGAAGATTGTAAAATCTTCATCTCCAGTCAGGTCCTTACACCAGCTAAAAATTATGCATTTAGCTTGCAATTCTACATACCAGCAGTTTAACGTCTGAGTGGTGACATTTAAATTTTACTTGGAGGGGTCAATCAAGTGGTGGAGAGGTCATGTCAATTCAGGAGAATGGAGGGAGGACGAATCCTGTTTATAACTAAACTATTTATTTTACGGTATTATATGGTAATTGCTCAAGTACCAAATATAGGAGCATGGCAAGCAATTCTTAAATCTACATCTGCATTAGCTATGATTTGCAATTGATTTGGTTTTGTGACTCTATTTGTTGCAGCCTTTCCTCTAGCCCCATTATTTGCCTTATTAAATACTATTTATTTATATATTCAAGCATAGAAGCTATCTATATAACACAGCAGATATATATGGCAGATATATAACAGGGTATTTGAAACTAAGATATAACTCGACTATATCAGGGCTAACACTTTGCTAAGGAGAGAGCTTACAAAAGTTCATATTACCTGGAGCTTTGTGAGAGACTTCTACTGTCAAGACCTTTACATCTTGGGTGGAGGGAATGATTGTGGCATGGCTGTTAGGATGACTAAAAGCAGCCTTGACAAATGGTACTGTCCCCTTATATAGAAAATATGCCAGACAATCGGGTTTGTTCCCAATGAGGTTATATTCGGACCAGCTGTCGATTTAGCAGGAACTTTGTGAGATTCTAGCCAGGGGTATGAAGTAGTTTATTACTCTTGTATCACTTACTCGGCGTCTATTCGTTGAGAATAATCCTCAGTTGTCAAAAAGAATGGCTTTTCCTAATTCAAGGAAAATCGGAGGGACTTACAGTTAGAATAAATTTAAAGCAGAATTTGGTGATGGCGAATTTGCCTTCTTTCTCGTCAGGTTCCCGACACCAGTTATCATATTTAGATGCGCGGATTAACATGCGTGTGGGGATAATATGGATGTGATTCAGATACCAAATAAGAAACATTTCTTTAACAAGTAATAAAAGATTTAATAAAATAAAAGTAAATAAAATTACACAAATGGAATTATTCAAAAATAAAATTAAGCGAATGAGAGACAATGGATTGATTAAATATACGTTTCGAGAGAGAGAGAGCTCACAATTTCATTTATAATCACACTACCTCAAAGTTTACTTTGTCTTTATGTTCATCTGTATTCAATGATCCTACTTCGTTGCATGGAGAGGTCTTGATTTTACACAATATTAAAAGTTTCTTCTTTTCTCCTCTATTAACTCATTATTATACTCGATTGGATACAACTAACGACTTTGTGGAGCAAATATGGACTACGTCCGTCTTCTCTGAGATCCTTTTCGTACTGTGGATGCTTATGAGCCTCCACTATCTCTGAGGAGAGAACAGTTGTCTCTTTTTTATTATATAAAACAAAAATCTCTTACTAAACCTTCAGTTGATTGTACAGTATTAGATGCTCAGCTGAATAGGTTATTTGAAGCTCGTCCAAATAGTGTCCCTATATTCGCCATAAGAATGGAGAATGTGAGCAGCACGATTGACCTGAACACAGGCAACATTTCACAGCTAGAGGTCTGTAGTATATCACCTTGGTCAACTCCTGTGATAAATGTTGACCTTAGCTTAATGCAATTTCCTAAGGAATCCACCCTACGTCTACAGACAGCACTTTGCAGAAATTCAACACCGTGACAGGAATTTAATTCCTATTTATACAGATGGATCTAAATCTGGTGGTTACATTGGCTCAGCCTTCGTCTGCCAGGATGAAATCATGGCAGAACAAATTGCATTGAATTCTTCCATCTTTTCTGCAGAGTTGCATGCTATTTATTTAGCTTTAAAGTATATAAATAGAAAAGGTCATCATTGCTGTGTTATTTACACTGACTCAGTTAGTGCACTTCAGGCTTTGATCTCATGTGAACCTAGTTCTCACTCCATAGTGATTAAAATTCGTAAACTGTTTTGCCATCTTATTGCGAGTAATTTCTTTGTAAAATTTTGTTGGGTCCCAGGCCATGTAGGTATAAAAGGAAATGAAGAAGCTGACACAGCTGCAAAGGCAGCTAGTCCTTCACAGCATACAATGCATATTGAAGGAGGTGATTTGAAGCTGGTTGTTAAAAAACAACTAGCAGAGAGATGGCAAAATGTGTGGAACTCACAAGTCCACAATAAACTATACGAGATCAAACCTACGATAGAAAATTGGATATGCAACAAACAGTATGACAGGAGATCTGAAGTTATTCTTAGTCGTTTGAGAATTGGGCATACCCGATTGACTCATCAGTACCTTTTGAAGGGTGAAGACCAGCCAGTATGTGAGTATTGCAACTGCTTTCTAAGTGTAAAACACATACTTTGCCACTGCACTGCTCTCGATCAAAGTCGTAGACAGCATTTCGGAAATGCAAGTTTGAGAGAGATTTTGGGCCAGAGGCCAAATCTGGACAACATAGTGGACTTTCTGAAAGTCAATAATATGTATAGAGATATTTGATTACTTATTTATTTACTTATTTTAGAGTTTTATTTACCTTGTT